CAGAAGGTCCCCGGTTCGATCCCAGCCAGGATCTGGTTTCGCATTGCTCATTGAACAAGACAACGTAAAGCGTGCACTGGAATAGTTAGTGTGTTTATTACTAGAATACAAATTTGGACATCTCCGCCAGACATTTTGTTTACACTGTCTTCAACGGTTGAATGAGACGTGGACGTTGCAGTTCTGTGGTGTAGTGGTTATCACGTCTGCTTCACATGCAGAAGGTCGCCGATTCGGTCCCGGCCAGGATCTGGTTTGGCATTGCTCATTAAACAAGATAACCTACAGCGTGCACTCGAATAGTTAGCGTGTTTATTACTAGATGTCAAATTTGGACATCTTCACCAGACATTTTGTTTACACTGTCTTCAACGGTTGGATGAGAAGTTGATGTCGGGATCAGGTCGTGTGGTGGTTATCACGTCTGCTTCACATGCAGAAGGTCGCCGATTCGATCCCGGACAGGATCTGGTTTCGCATTGCTCATTGAACAAGACAACGTACACTGCTCAATCGAATAGTTAGTGTGTGTAATACTAGCAGTCATATTTGGAAATCTCCGCCAGACATTTTGTTCACACTGTGTTCCACGGAATGAACATATCAGCTATCTATGCCGAGGTTTGTAGAATGTTGGTGTTTTGAGATCATAAAGTAAAACTTGGAACCCAGGCGAGATCGGATCGCGATTACGGTTTCCGGGGATCACGTGCTACGACTGGCCCCACTAAGGCTCTCGTTCTGCCTTTCTCGCAGCTAATCTTTTTACCCTAAAGGTACCATCAGTCAATCACCTGTCAACGGGAATGATCGGGTGAGCACGAATCGCCACCTTTAAGGCAAAAAGGCTGGCTGAGAGAAAGTAAGAACGAGTGCTTGCGGTGTCGTGCGTAACACTCGAGCCCATGGAAAGGATAATCGCCGTTCGAGCTGGCTTAGGGTCCAGGTTTTGCAAATATCTCAACAACCGTAATTCTTTTATTTACTGCCTTTTTCTTTTTTAATGGCAGAGTATGTTGCGAAATATAACTCCTATATAATGCTGAGATATTTGCAAAACTCCGGACCGTAGGTGTATACGTTGTATTTATTTAATATTTATCATATTTATTTATATGATCTTATAAACTGTTCTTCTTAAGCTGACGCGAGGTTGGTACAGGTCTTTATTGTCGTTGCCGTTGTTTTTGATGTTGTTGGTCGATGGCTGAAGTTTCGGCGACTTCGCCTTCCTCAGAGCCGTCATGTGACTTGTGGGATACATCAAATATATCAATTACTTGGATAATGTCATACCTTTTATTTTCTGCCTATTATAATTTCGCGGCAGGGTACTAAGCGAAATACAACCACAACGTTGCTGAGATATTTGCAAAACTCCGGACCGTAGGTGTATACGTTGTGGAACGAACACGCGCTGTTGTCCTTACCGGGGAGCAGCGCACTTCACCACCACACCATCCGGGTCCTTCGTCTTGCCTGTCTCTCAGCTAGTTCTATCGATCTTTCGCCATCGGCAATCACCCGTCAACGGGATTGATGTGGGGAGCCCAAATCGGCATTGAACCCAGTTAAGCTGAGGCTTAGTTATAATCACAATCTTAACCCTTTTATTTACTGCCTTTTTCTTCTTAATGATAGGGTATATTGCGAAATATAACTTCAATGATGCTGAGATATTTGCAAAACTCCGGACCGCAAATGTATGCCGTGGGGAACGAAGCTAGCTGAGAGACAGACAAAACGAAGGACCCGGATGGTGTCGTGGTGAAGTGCGCTGCTCCCCGGTAAGGACAACAGCACGTGTTCGTTCCCCACCGCATACACCTTCGGTCCGGAGTTTTGCAAATATCTCAGCATTATATAGGAGTTATATCTCAGCAACATTGTGGCTACATTTCACATAATACCCCGCCGTGAAAAAACAACTGGCAGTAGATAAAAGCTCTACATAAGGTAGAGAGCTATTTCTTCACGGCATACTAGTACTTGTGAAGATTTTACAAACTCTACCTACAACGCACATAATTATGTAAGAGAATTCCCCACGAGTTCCTTTCGATTGATGCCTCCAATGGAGCTCCATCTCGATACCGCTAACGTTCTTCCAATGTTGATTCTCACAGTTGTGCTTAGGTACCGCGCGTACGACGTCGCGTACGACTTCACGGAAGATACGTGTACGAGTTTCACCGTGGCGTTCAGAGCTGCCGAACTCCGTTGACGAGTAGCGTCGCTAACTTTGAGATTCCAGGTTCTTGTTAGCGTTTCTTTAAGGATGGACGTTATTGTTGTGATTCCTCTATTCCGAGTCTTTTTCCCTTCTGATCTGCTTTCTATATTGATCGTAGTTGCTCATATGACTTGAAGTCTATTGATTTAGTTTCTCTTCTATGAAGTGGAAAAAATCACCGGTCGATAATCTCTTGTTCTTTTTTTATTAAGCACCTTCTCCTCGTTTTCAATCGACTGACGTTAAGACTGTATCTGTCCAAGTTACCATTTTTGTGTTTGATGACGATAATATTTAAGGATAAAAAGCATTGTTTGGACACTAACTTTTTATGACGTCATTTTTCAGAATTCTGAGTAGCCTTCGACTAGGTTCGAATGTCGGTCGAAGATCCGCTAGTGAATGGCATACCACTTTCTTCGTTACGTGTGGTCGACCTACGGGATGAGTTAGAGAAACGTGGGCTGTCAAAGATTGGTAATAAGTCCGTGCTTACGGAGAGACTAAAAGCTGTACGTTGTTACTCTTTACATTTCCTTGTGGTTTTCTCGTTATGGCCTAGTAGTACTGTGAAGAGACAAGGCTGTAATGTTCTACTTCAACCCAGTATACTCACGGTGTATTCACTGGAGGTTCTCATCATTCCTAGTTAACTCATTCACCGTTTTTTATAGTACATATGCGAGAATGAGTTGCAGAACTGCGGTGAGACTACGGCGCAAGGAAAATCTACCGAAATGGTAAACAGTTGTTTTTTTTATTCCTTTAGATTCTGTGATCTATATTGTCCCCACTTTTTTCTACTGTGTATCTGTTGTTTTCAGCTTCCCAACAACATCCATTGAAATTTTCGTTTAGAGTACGTCTAGCAATCCAATCGTTGCTGCCTATTTAGCACGTCAGGCTGAAGTATTGGAAATTCAGAAACGTGACGCAGGTGGCAACTTCTTAATAAAAGAGCTAGCAAAAGAACTAAAACATGGCTTAGAATACGGCGAAACGAAAGACACGCATGGTGTGGTGGCGAACACGTTAGCTCCTGTAATGGTAATAAGGAGGTTCGATCCACGCCGCAGACACCAGTGGACCTCAATTTTGCAAACATCTCAGCATCATTGTACCTATATTTCATATCATGCCACACTATTAAAAAAGAGTGGGCAGTTAGTAAAAAGTGATTACAATGAGCTAGTATTTTTTATAGAAATACGCTTGCTGTTCGAAAATTTTCCAGCATGTGCTTATTCAGAGACGAAAACCGTTCATGATTTATAGCTAAACAGTGCTTTACTCATGTTTTTAAATTGTCGGGCTTACACTAGGTTGACAAAAGTATTTATTTCGGCTAACCTTTCAACGTCTTCGTCTTTATCAAAGTCGGTAGTCCGAGTCGGTGGTCCACAGTTGTTCGTCTTCTCAAAGTGGTACCTCATTCGAGCGGTACTCCACTGAAGAAGATTTGACTCGGTCGACGACGAAAACACCACATTGGGAAGACGAACGACTACGGACCATCCACTCAAATCATCTATGGTGAAGACGAAGACGTCGGAACGTTAGCCGAAATAAATATCTTTATCATCCTCCTTTGCGCTCAACAATTTAAAACATGTTGATTATTTTACTACCTCCATACTCTAAAAACGAAAAAATGTGACGAGAAAACATAGCGGTAACTTGAACGTTCGGTTTGAACACTGCCTTACTCATTCTTTAGAGCGTATTCGAAAGGAACAAGCAAGTAGTGACGATTCTCATACGGACGAAGTGGATGAGGTTACTTCACCGAGGCGGTCACAACGACATCCACGGCGGCAATCGGAGTCCTTGGATCAGGTAGAACGTTCAAGTTGCCGCAATATTTTCTCATCACATTTTTTCGTTTTTAGAGTATGGAGGTAGTAGAAGAACAATCGGCTACTGGTAATGCTAATGAACAAGATTCTTCCGTGGAACCTTCTATGGTTCTAAAGCATGTCGAGAAGAGTGCAGCTACCTCAGCAAAAAAGTCGCCGTTGAGTACTCCGAACAGAGAAAAAACTCCTGACCAGCAAACCGAAATGGATGAGATCAATGATGAGGAAAAGTTAGTTCCTTTGTTTAGTTTTAGAATTCAAATTAAGTTGACGACATGGTCCCGAAGGACCCGTATGGGTGCTTGACCCCCGGAAAGGGCAATAGCGTGTTCAATCTCCACCGCACACAACTGCAGTACGGCGTTTTGCAGGCATCTCAGCATCATTGTGGTTGAATTTCACATAGTACCCTTCCGTGAAAAATTGTACTAGGCAGTAAATAAAAAGTTAACATTGTGATATCGGCTGCAGCCTCAGCTTAACTGGGTTCAGTGCCGATTTGGGCTACCCAGATCAATCCCGTTGGCGGGTGATTGCTGACGGCACTGGTAGGTCGAAAACTAGCTGAGAGAAAGGCGAGACGAAAGACTTATGGTCGTTTGGTGTGGTGGTGAATGCATTAGCTCCCGGAAGGGGTAATAGCGTGTTCGGTCTCCACAGCAGATTCCTGCTGTCGGGAACTATCTTAGAATCATTGTCATTAAGTTAACGACAATTTTAACAAGAGATGGGTCTGCTGTCCACTTTTTCTTTGTGTGCTGGTGTACATAGTCTTATGCTTTTAGTGAGAAGACCGTCAGCGTCAATGAGGTGCATGAAGAAGAAAAACACTCAGATGATGAAAGCACACGGTATTCTCAGAGAAATAGCGACGCAAAACAAAAGATGTATGTTGTTACTAGTAAGGGACTAACAAAACCATTGTTAATATTTACATGAATGCACCAGTTTCATCCCACTTTTCAGACCATACGATGAACTTCATAAAACGTCAGGGTACGAAAATGAGGTGGAGGATTCATCAAAGAGCAAAAGTTTGTATTCACGTTGGTGTATATTGAAGTATAACATATGTTGCAGAAATTTTCTAAAATTGTAGAAACAAGTTGCAAAATTCCATGAACTACCGTTGTTAAGCTGATTAGTTGTTATAAGATGTTTTCGAAGTGTGATGGTTGGAATTTCGATGACTTCACCTTCTTCAAAGCCTTGACTATTATATTTAGCTGTATTCAGTTAATTCGATGAATTATCTGTGGGATTAATGCAGGGCTAATGCACAAATGAGGGCGCCGGTAGCGCAGTGGTGCACCCTGCCATACACGTGGGACCGGTCCCCGCGCCCAAGACTCGTTAAGCTTTCCATCTTTCCGGGGTCGACAAAAATTGGTACCATCTGAGAGGATAGCAGCACTGATCCGATACACCGATTGGCGACCGCGAATCATTGTAAAGGTCAGACATGCATTGAGCTACCTCCAACGATGATTATTGAAGTCGAATGCATGGCGCATCCCTCAGGGAATGGTCTGCGCCGAGAGCTTTATCCTTTTATTTTAGTGTACAAATGAACGCCAATCTGTTAAAATTACCCACTGTTTCCGTTTTGTATGACCTGAGACCACCCATGTGTTGTTCCTGTGGGATAAATGAAACAAAACCTATGTTCGAATGGTACCAGTTAAGGCACTCTTTTTTCCGATTCCCTTGATTTTTTGAAATTTACCCAAAGGACTGAAGAGTTTTGGGCGTTGATTTTTTTGATTCCTGTGCCAGGATCGTGACAACCACTTCAAAATCATCACCGTTGTGTTTTTGTGCCCCATGTTTATCTGGAGGAGTACTTTGTAATTTGGTGGCTTGAAGTCTTCCATCTAGATTTTGTTTTAACAAAATCGAAGTAATTGCTTATTGGGGAGGAAGAGTATAGAGGTTAGTTATTCCATCGATCAAGAAACAAAGGCGCTTGTTCGGTCCTGTCTTCAACGCATCCCCCTAATCCACATGGGAACGCCTTATTAGGGCTATCGCCAATATTGCAAGGGCAGTCAACTTGACCAGCATTCTACGGTATTCGTTAAGAAGACGGAATTCCCAAGCAACAGTGCAACCAACACACGATATATTCGAAAACCACTGAACGACGAATGAGGGGGAAAGGAATCGATTGCAAGAAGAGCTGGGATCCACACGGCGGATGAGATGAGGTCCTATAGGGGATTCGTCATGTCCTCCTTGTAAAAGATATATTCCGAAGCCTGTAAGTACTATTATCTGCAGTCTTGATGAACTCAAAGTAGTTTAGCCTTTTGGCCAATGTATTCTTCTTCTTCACCACATACTTAATGTGAGATTAGGTATATTGTAACTGGACTGATCCGTCTATGCCATTGTGGCAGATCACGCAATTTATTGATCACGATGTTATATTGTCAACCATAATGGGTGTTGCGGACTAATTCACTCCGTAGGTATTGGGTAGGAAGTTCAATAACTGCTACAAAATTCTCAGGACCATTTCTGTTGAGACATATCTTAATATCGCTACTTACTTCGTTAGATATCAAGAAGGGCTTGAAAAGGATCTTGTTTAAGTTTGAAATATCTTTTTGTTGCAAAACCCTAATTTTCGATGCAAACTGAACCGCTGCTGCTTTGAAACTTTTGCAATTGCATATTTTCCGCCCCAAATATAGCGACACTTCCTTGTTCTCTTCTGTGCACGTACTTCTAGCTTTTCGGTAGATGTTTTTTATAAAACCTCGTGTGCGAAGGATGAGAGAAGAAATAGTGCACTAATATATTTTTAATACTTGGTTTTTAACATCGTTTTCTAGCGTAACCACCCACTCTATGAAAGCTTTGATTGTTTAAAAGTTGAGATCAGTTCTCGTTAGGTTTGTCTTGCCTGGATTTTCATGCCGAGGTTTAGAGAAAGTCGACCTTTCGAATTATAAACCAAATAGTAATAGGTTTTCATACCTATTTTGTGAAACCTGACGTTTCCTTCCCTCCATTTCCTAAAAAATCAACTTTTACAGATTCGGCTTGGTGCAAGTTTTTATTTATACTACATAGATATCAACTTTATGTTACATATACAAAATTTCTAGTTCATGGAATGATCGCACGATCACACAAACGCACATGTGCAATCACCACATACATACACAACACGCCACACACACACCCCCACAGACAGACTATACACATACACCACACGCGCACACCACCTGCACGACACACACACACACACACACACAGATACCACATACACGGATACACACCGCACACACACCACGCCACACAGAGATGGACAGTATTCCGTTTTAGAATTGCGACTGTTTGTAAAAAAAAAAGTACGAGCACCAGAGAACGAACGGTCGCGTTGCATTGCGATTTACAAAGCCGATTTGTTCGTATTATTACCATCTTCGATGTTTTTTTATTGGACTTTTTGAACAGATAATCCACTATCTGACAGAAGTAGGAATTAGTATCCGTCCTATTAAGGTAAACTCTCAGAATCTCTTAAAATGTTTGTCGAATAAAAACGTCTGGAGTATTTCATGTGGTGTTAAAGAAGGTAGTTCCTATGTGTTTCTTTGTTTCCTATAAATGCAGAATGTGCACTGCAGTTTTACTTATATTTGGCAAATTTTATTGTGTTAACAATCATTTGGTAAGGTTGTAGTAAATATTATGTTCAACTATGTCGTAAGCGAGAATATTCAGCGTCGTCAGCAGCAAAGCAGATGGAGGAGAATGGTGGCAGTGGTGGTGATCATCTAGAGGAATTGGATTACGGTGAAGCTGATGCAGAGGCTGATGCGGACGCGGAAGACAGGGACGCCAAGGACGAGGTTCGAATTTCAGAATTATTGTTCATCAATTGTCGTTTGCGTTTGAGTCGAACAGCAAAAGAATGCGTCAGGTAATCAACATTTTATGGGTAATATTGGTTTAGAGGTAATAAACCAGATGAACGTAGATATACTTCTTGTGCACAGTGTTCCAACTTTTTCAATATTCGCTCTTTGTGGGGGGATTTTCGAAATTTAAATGGTATTTGATACAATTGCAGAAAATATCGGCATGTGCATGAATGTTCAAGACGACTTGATGATGTTTGTTATTTGATTTCTAGGTGGTGATGGAAGTGGATGAAGCAGAAGACCAGGAACTGAACAAACAGAGAAGGCGGTTGGTTATCGCACTGGAAGAGTCACGTGAAGGGAAAAACGAAAAAAGAAGAAAAGTTTCACCCTCGAGGTATTTTCAGCAGCGATTATTCATTCGTTTAGGTGTTATTAAAGATAGGCAGGTTACTGGATGACATTCAGTGAGGCTGAAATTTGAACTACAAACTTTTATTGTGAGTCCAAACGAGAGATACAAAACGTGCCAGGCTAAATGGTCTACTATTCTTGCTCTAGATCAGTGCTCGAGTAAAAACCTTTACAGGCACCCAGAATCTGAAATCGTTCACATACGAGGTCTAACCCGTCCATTCACAGATCGTGCATTGAAAGCGGAAATAACGAAATGTGGTGGTCAGATCGTCGATTTTTGGATTGATAGTGTTAAAAGCCATTGTATAGTTCAGGTATAGATTATTAATTGCTCAGTTTGTAAGAGCGTTAATATTGAAAGCAGAAATTGTTTTAAGTACTACCCTATCAGATTCTAATTTAGAGTTCGTTTCCAAGTTTAACTAAAGTCCCTTAGAGGAATCTCATTTTAGTCATAATTTTTCAGATGAATTCTATAGATGAAGCTCGTGAAGTTCGAAACACAATGCACAATACGCAGTGGCCTGCAGCAAACCCGAAGACGTTGTCTGTGCAGTTTGACACAAAAGAAAATGTATGGGTTATATTTTTGTCTTTTTCGTCCATTTTTGTCTTTCTATGTGCTTCCGTATTCGAAATAATTAAGGACCACAAGTTTTAGCTTGAGAGACATCGCAGCGGCCATACCCCTGCGACAGTTAGTTATCCTATATCAGCAACGCGTTCAGAACGCAAGCAGTCTGAGCGGGAAAGACCGACCATTGGACATCTACCTGGGAGAAACCCAAGCTTGAAGATTACGGTTTAGATTCTTAATGTGATAACAATTACTTGATAGTTTTGTTTTAAAAAAAAGTTCTGTAGGTGGAGGCAGCAATGCGCGAAAATGAGAAACGAGAAGAGAGCAGGGAAAAGGAACGGAGAGAACGTGCACGTGCTGAAAGAGAAACAGACACTCGACGAGAAGAGGAAGAAGGGAAGAAGGAGAAGCGTGAAGAGAAACAGCATAATGAAGAAAAGTATACCACTGTAGGTTTATAGTTTCAACTTCAATTCACGACTGAGGTTTTTCTGACATTTGTTCACGTTGGAGAGTGTGTCGGCAATCGTAGGATCGTAGGCAAGATCATATAGATCAAGTACTTTTTCTACTCATTTTGTGGAAAAATTTTTGATAGTATATTGATTTCTTCCTTCAGAAACGGGACGAACATGATAGAAAACGACACCGTTCGGAAACACCTCCGTTTAGCAGATCAGTGACGGAGAAGCGAGAGCGACGTGACTCGTACGGTCGTCCTGAAAGCGATCGTGACTATGGCCGTAGACGTGATGATGATAGAGGAAGACATCGCCACCATGAGAGTGAGAAGGAGAAGGAGCGAGAGGAGAAACCAGTTAAAACGGCTGATTCGCTGTTTATGAAGACGAAAACACAACCAGCTATATACTTCTTGCCCTTGACTGATGAGGAGGTTGGAATATGGAATTTGTAAAAATAGACTATGGAGAACATCCGTACTGATCAATTAAAGCTAGTGGTTGTCTTGAGGGGATTTCATTTGTTTTAACCAGTTTTTATTAGTCTTTTTCTAAGATGTTCTTTCGAAAGTTTAAGTTTAGTGAAAGCTAGTTACTGTTACGTTCCACTAGACATGCATTCTCACTTTTTGGGTGGTCGTTGACCAGAGCTGACTTTTTCTGACGCTTGTAAGCTATCAAATACCCCAACTAATTGGTAGACCTACGTGGACTAAATTGCTACGTCTACTACTGCGTTCGCAATCACCTTTTCATAAAGAAATCGTTCTTTTCTACGTTTTTGTCCACTGTCCAGAAATTTTAGGTCGTTGAGCGACAGGAGAAGATAGTAGCAGAAAAGAAGAAACGTGAACACAAGGAACAAGAACGAGAAAAGGAGAAGGAGAAGACAAGACGCTGAACAGTGGCGTGGAACGGCAACCTACTATATATCTGCCGATGATTCCGAGTATCTTAGTTTGGGCGTAACTGTTTTCCTTTGCATAGTTTGTATTCTCCCCATACAGCAGTCGTGGTTGATTTTTTGCTTATACTTTTATTTACGTTTCGGTATTTAACATTTATAATTGCATATGTTGTTTTCAACAGTGTCCATTCGTCGATTATCGTACGGCGCGTTCTAGCGATGTGGCTGAATGGATTGGAGATATTTATGGAAACATAACGGATTATTATCAAATGCCGCTTAATCGATTTGTCGAAAAGTGATCCATGAGATCTCATCGTAGCAACGATACGCCGTGTTTACCTACGTCGTGTAAGGAACAACTTCGTCGTACGAGATGCCATCCACGTTATACGAAAGCTCTCATCACGACCTGCCTCATACATCTGAGATGCCATGAAGCCCATTCGAGAGGACCGCTGATGTGATCCTGTTGCTGTGTACGTTGACAAAATGGACTCTAATAAACATTTGGAAGTTCGTGGTCGTTATTAACGTTAAAAACGTTTGGTCTCACATTATTTAGCTCGGTCGTGGAGAGGACAAGCTATCCATTATAGGGAACATTTTTATCAGTTACGGGACGATGTGACCTCTGTAGGAGTCATGCAATAGGGAAGTGGTGACAGCCTTCAACTTTAAATCAACGTTTCTCAGCTCATAGTGAATTTCACTAAATAGGATAAGAAAGTACTAGAATCTGAAGTTTCTGCATACGGGGTAGTGGTTTTCTTGCTTTGCTACCATGGAATACTGATTTTCTGGAACCCATGAAATGTACCTCTCCAACTTTTTTTGCTTCAAAGCCCATTTTTCGTTTACGAAAGAAGGTGAGCATACAGAATGTCGTCTAGCAGGAAACGGTGGCATTCTCCAATATGTGGTTCATGTTCACAGCTGCCACTTTTGCGTTGTAGGTTTTAAAACTTGCACATTTTACTTTCAATTTTTTTTTGAAAATCCCTATTGTAAACGTTAGATTTGGAAGAGCACATTGCACAAACTATGTATATAGGACTATCACGATAAAACAAAGTTTCTTCTACGAATCTGTTGGGTTCTGAAGTCCCAAAATAGTTTGTGGTCGAGATGCAATCGTCAGTTGTCGAGAAGTCAATTCCGTCGAGAAAGTTACCAGCGGGCAGTGGTGTCTGGGCATGAGGATCACAATGTCAATGATGATGCGAAAAAAAATTGCAGTTCACGCAGAAATTTGGTTGTAGTACCGTCTTACTGAAGAGACCCACAGCAGAGTTTCGAGGTTACAATAACGCCTATACACACATAGGGAACCAGACGCAGGTTAGAGCAACCATGGCAGAGCGTACGTGCTTCTATTCAGTGATCACTGCAGACCAAAATTCCCATAGTCAGTTACGAATTTTGTTTGTCGTGATAGTATTTCTTTATTCGTACCGTTATTACAAATAGTTTCTCAGATATGATGAACGTCTTTGTCCACCTAAAATTTCCATCCTACTGGTACATTGTGTTTTGAGTTTGAACTAGTTATCAGTGTAATGTGCAAGTTCACGCTATAATTGTCGAAATAACTCAAGCTGCTAGGAATACCAACGTCTTGGTATACCGATAAGCTTGGGAAGGATCACAAGGATGACAAGATATGAGCAAAAGTGGGAACCTCGGGCTCCGAGCCCCGCAATTATCATTTCTGGGACTTAATTGCTATCCATTACACTCACCGGGGCTCTTCGCTTTTATCTCACCTTGTTTTTTACTCTAGCAGTGCTATCAGCAACTGCGATGATCTAGGGAGCACAAATAATGTTTAACTTTTGTCTACTGCCTATTCTTTTTTCATGCGCATATCCTACATCCATGTGGTTGTACTTCATATAGTACCCTACCATAAAACGTCCAGTAAATATAACTCTAAAGAAAAAGAAAGAAGAAAGAGTAGAAAGTAAATAGAAAGAAAGTGAAGAACATCCAGTAGATAGAAAGTTTAATGCATTGAGACTTCGATTGCTTCAGCTTTGCGCTCCCCAGATCATTCGCGTTGACGGGTCAGTGCTGATTGCACCGACAGAGTAAAAATATGGGTGAGACAAAGGCTAGTTCATCGATTGGTGTGGTGGATAGCACATGAACGGCACTAAGGGTAATCCTGGTTTGAAGCCCACCTAAGGTTCCCAGTTTTGATGAATGGAAAAAAGGGTAAGAAAAGAAAAGTTAAGGCAAGTACGTCCTTAATGTTCCTCTGAGTGGCGATAGGGCAGTGGATAGTGATGACGTCCATTAGGAAGTAAGGTTCAGGTTAGGCCACCACAACACTTTCTTCCAATCCACGTCGGAATGCCTCAGTTCGGCTATCTCCAAGTTAAATGAGGTGAAGGGCAAAGCTCTCGTCGTCGATCAATCCCACAGGGTTCGGCCATGCATTCGACTTCATTAAGCATCGTTTGGAGGTGACAGAATCGGAGGTTCGGTGGATCTAGTCTTTACACCGACTCGCTTTCTACCGATGTATCGAACCAGTGTTGCTATTTTCACAGACAAGTCTGCTACTAATTGCCGATCTCAGAGGGAGGGAAGGTTTGGCGGGCCAGTGGCACGAGAATCAATCCCATGTGTATTGCAGGGCACCCCATTGCGCCACACCCTCATCTCCAAAATAGCGAGGAGAATCGACACGACCAGCATTCTACCACATTCGTAAGTAAGACGAAAAGAAGCACCCGAAATAACACGCAAAATGTTCGAAGACCATTGTGGATGATGAATGTAACAAAAACGAATCGAATGTAAAAAGTACTGGACAGTAGATGTGATTATGGATCATGTAAAGAAAATGTAACGCCTCTGCCTTAGCATTATAACGGAGTCGATCCCAAAACTTATGCAGGAAGCATGCGACTCCAAGCAAGCGTTCGTTTAAAAATGGGTTGGTCTGGTGAGAAACTTTAACCCAATTTTAATAGTGAGTGTGCGCTGTTAGCAAAACTCATGCCTCCTGACACGGGGACTCTTTACTTTTCTGGTACTTTACTAACTCTGGTTTGACTCTTCCTACCTACGCAGACGGCATTTCTTTGTCTTATTGAAGCCAGTGAATGCGATTTTTTAGCTAGAGTTTCGAATCTTCTGCATAAGCTTGCGTTAGAATTCGATCTAATAGAACTACAAACTAGTATTGACCCACATATTACTATCCTCCAAAGGTGGTCCTCCAAATACCCAACACAGTAGCATTCCTTCGACTCACACTTCTCCAGTTCAGCGTACATGTTGCTCTGCTTGAATCTAGGACAGGCGCGTAGTAGCCGCATTTCGATGTCCAGTACTTGGTGGCTGTCCTCTGGTATACTGCATTCGTTGGGTAGTCATTTTCGTTCTGTGAAGATAGGGACGACACACCTCAGGCCGGTTTTTTGACTTCACTCATATAATTACTCTGCGCAGTTGGTCATCAAATAATTGGAAGATTTACAGAGAAAAAAACGGTGTGTTTTTAAGAAGCTGATTACTATCTTTCTAACCGGGTTATAAAAAATGTTTGACTAAGTAAACTGCGTGTCGATCTGATCTTTCAAGGCTCTGAACAAGGCGAAGTCGCCGGAACCTTAAAGTTTTTACTAATCTCTTGTAAGCTGAATCAGACAGAAAATTGTTGTTTATTGTTATCGAGATTTAATGAGCCAGTTTTTAAGACTTAGCATAACTTTGTTTGGACTTTCGATCTATAGGAAACCCAAGAAAAAAGATTCTGAACAGAACCAGAAAATTTACTTACAATTGTCCACAGTATGTTAAACAAGGTCATGAATATTTGCAGACTATTCGCCGCCACAACAGGAAGTAAGGCAGTATTCAGAGCAAGCGGCTTTCAACCTTGCATGGTTCAGCATGATTCTGGACTCAGTATACCGAATTCTTAATGAAGTGAATAATGTTATAATTCACTATTTGCCATTCATCACTCTTAAGTGGATCATTTAAGAGTGAGTGCCCTCAATTCTAGTTCGCCAGTGTCCCCATTTACGCTTCTATCGGAATCTCAATGCGTTTGATGGTTTGCTAGTGCAGATAGGATGTCTTCGTTGACACGAAATTACGTACATGTTGAACTCTTACGCATATGGAACGTCGAAACACACTCCGATATATATACACATACACACATATATATGCACACGCACACATACACACACACACCTGTGGATGCCTTCGTCTAGCTACTAAGCATTATCCTCATAATTATCTCAGCACAAAGGATTCATGATAGAATGCCAGTAGTTATCTTTTAAACTACATCCTCCCTATATCGAACCACTTATGACGAAACTTTGAAGTCTGAAGGAAGCAACGCATTAATGACGATCGAATTCTTTTCAACCAGCGCTAAGTAACCCACTAGTTGGCTGAGTGAAAGTTCTTCTCCCTAAGGTTTCCTAAAATTACACTACAGAGACCAATCGAATCAATCTTATTAAACGATTGAATGGAACTATTACAAGTCGCAATATATCCTATTCGTAACAAAAACTATCTTCACGTATAAACCATATTAAAAAGCATACTTCACATAAGGACCTACATAAGCTGTACACAGTATTCAAGAATATTATGCACATTTTCAACGTATCTCAATCCTCTCCTTCAGAAGGCTCATATTCATCGTCATCTGCATCATCACTTCTCCTTGACACCTTCACTTTGTGAGATTTTTGATGGAACACAAATGAAATTGCACCGCAGTTGAACACTGATCGCAAAATAGGATCGGCAATCTGTGAAAAGTATCTTGTTCGGGTAAACTCATTTCCGCACTATTAGAAACACTACTGATTACATGATGCTGAAATATTTGCAAAATTCTAGACCGCAGACAATCCCGTTGACGGGTGATTGCCGATGGCACTGGAAGATGGAAAAACTAGCTGACAGAAATGCGAAACGAAGGACCTGCACAGTGTGGTGGTGAACGCATTAGACCCCGGAAAGAATAATAGCATGTTCGATCCCCATCGCAGACACCTGCGGTCCGGAGTTATGCGAATATCTCAGCACCACTTTGCTTGTGCTTCACACAATACCCTACCATGAAAAATTGTAGCAGGTGGTGGCTAAAAAGTTAACTATTGCTTAATTTGTTAAAAGTTTTTGTAGAAGATAACTTTAAACCGAAAAAGTAAGAAATGGGATTCAGACTTGAACATTTGAATTTCTCAATATTCTAATATCAACGGATAAAATCTCACCTTGCGCGCATCTTTTTGCGAATGGTACCACAGTGCTAGATCAGATGTGCAATCAGCTGTTTCTGGAGGATCAGTGCTTTCTATGCCATTTATGCAACGCTTGCATTTTAATCTGAAGGAACAACTTGGCAACTCAGCAACAACAACAACAATATTAAGCAGCTTTGTTTACTCCACCAAAAGCACACAATTTTATAGAGCGAGAACCTCAGAAGTGGCAAGTGTGCAAATTTAAAACACATCTAATCTGCTTACTTTATATGAGTATCTGATGCGGTTTCCGTCTCGAGCTTGAACAGCTCTTTCAACTGATCCGAGCTGAAGTGTCGAGCGACATCCTGTCCAGCATCAACGACGCACGATGACAGTGCTTTTTTGTGAGTTTGCCGTTGAAACATCTTCTCCTCAATCGAACCAGTCTATAATAAACAGTTCCAAAATCAGCATCACACTATGCGTGTCCTTCGTTTCGCCTTTCTCTCAGCCGTGTTTTACTTCCGTGGTGGTGAACACATTACCCCCGAAAGGGTAAATGAGTTTCGATCCCTACCACAGATACCTACTGTCCCGAGTTTTGCAAATATCTCAGCATTATTGTAGTTGTATCTCACATTATACCTTGCCATGAAAAAGGAACAGGCAATAAATAAAATGTGATTACATGGTCTTGACCATTTATGACTTACTGCTAATAGTCTATATATAAAGCAATTCTTCTTCTGTCCGTCACGCCATACACGAGCCATTGCTTGATCGTCATTTGCTGGATTCCAATCGGGATCGAACATAACCAAGCTAAATGCAAAAGCTTTCCATTTTTAGTCTATGCACGCCGCAAATTAACTCACCGGTTTGCTCCTATTAAGTTGAGGCCACATCCACCAGCCTTAGAAGACAACAAAAAACAGAATTCATTGCTCTGTAAATTCAGCTTCATTTACAAAATTAGACAGTACGAGATCAAGTCAACATAACTGTACTGTACGTCTTGTTCAACTGTCGCAACTAAACTAACAAAAACAGACAATAGCGTTTTCTATGTAGAAGGATAAAGGATAAAGCTCTTGGCGTTGATCAATCCCTGAGGGATGCGCCATACATTCGACTTCATTAAGCTTCGTTGGAGGTGACTGAATGCATGAATGCATATCTGGCCCTTACAATGATTCGCGGTGGCCTACCGATGAATCGAGCCAGTACTGCTATCCTCTCATACAAGTCTGATACCAACTTGTCGACACTGGAGCGATGGAAAACTTGGTGAGCAACGAGCGTGAGATCGAATCCATGTGTATTGCAGGGCACCTCCGACCGCTTCGCTACATGTGTCCATAATATGTAATAACCTCTATAAACCAATAATCTCGTCTACACAAATCTGGACCTGGGATAAAACGAAACCTTCTTTTATATACCGAACAGGAATATACACAAAGGAAGAGCGAACAAATGCTAAATTAGATCCAGAGGGTGTTCTCTGACTTTACTGCGTTAGATTAAGATGCTCGTTTAGCGCTCATGAAATCTTATTCATACTTATGTGGGAGGCACTCGGATTGAACCACGTCAATATGATTTCAATTCCGTAATAAAATGAGCACGATGGTATGAACTGTGGACCACTGGTTTGTACTCAATTAAAATAAAGATGATGAAATTACAGAAACATCCTTCAAGGAACAAAAAACCCAACCTCCGGATCGTTGAACTTTTCCACGATCTTTGATCGTTGCTTGATTGACATGGAGCCGTCAAGGCGGACGTAACCATATCCTCGAAGTTTGCAAAGCTGCAAGGAATTGAGTAACTTTTGCATGATACTTTGTAGAGTATTGAAAAACATCACTTCGACAAACTGATCTATGGTTTGAGTATAGTTCGAGACAAGCACGAACTTATCACTGCACGTTTTTCGAGTCACCGCCAGAATATAGTCTAAAACCTGAACAAATAATATTCCTCTATTACTAACTGAGTCATAATGTTAAATTTACACCTTCATTTTCCCAGATATCGAGGGATCGAACTTCTTGGAGAATACGTCAGGAATTCGGTCAAGGCAACCTTAAACAACATATTCTCTTCCAATAGAAGGATAAGATTAAACGTCGAAAACGATGCACCAGCATTAACTATTATTTAGAGCAATAACATGATTATTGGTAATGGTTCCTCCAACGGCTTATCGCTTCATCGTGGCTGGAAGCCATTCCTGGTTGTCAGGCCGTGATGTACAGCGGGTGGATTCGTCTCCGCGGTAGGGTCTCCCAAGCTGAGAAGGGGTCCGGTGTTTCGGACAGGAAGCCCCGCTACGAGTAAACCAATACCAATGGTAGGATCCACCGCCGTCCTGGTATCAAATTAGTCGCATGGTGGCAAATCTCCCTCTGATCCACAAGGGCAGCGACTACCTGTGGTGAGCTCGGTAAACTACGACTGGGCTGACTTCGAGACTCCAGGGAACCACAGTGGGTAAACCAGCAAGATTCCAAGAAGTGAAAATTTTGCTGGTAGCGACACAACCGCTGAGCACGAGCCGTTCGAGTATCCGAGTAAGTAATAACATGGTTGAACTTCATCGAGTTATTAATGAACTATAAATACTCATAAACCTTTTTCTGTAAATGTCAGGACCAACCGTCATAACCGATTCCGGCTTTCTGCAACTCGTCATAAATAAGATAAGGATGATTGCATAGTTTCTTCAACCTAGTAATGAATGATAACGCAGATGCCGTAGCGCCGTTTTCCTAAAAAACCTCATGTACGAAGACAACGGGTCAGTAGCGTACTGGCTGAGACGGAAACACTACCTTTTCCTTTTCCGTTGCTCTACTTATTCCTTCAATTTCAATTATCTTATTGTATATTAAATTTTGAACATCCGTGTTGCGACAGCAAATGATGTGCTCATATTTAACCTGCAACGTTTCAAATAATAAATTTTAGAAAAACATACTCATCAATAATGAACCCCCAACGGTTTACCACCTCATAGTGGTTGGAAAGTGTTCCTGGGTGTTGGACTACGATGTAAATCGGGGGATTCATCCCTCAACAGATTCTCCCATGCTGATAAGGATTCCGGCGTTTCTGACAGGAAGGCCAGCTACGAGTCAACCATTACCAATGCTAGGTAATCACCGCCGTCCTGGTATCAAGGTAGTGTGATAGTGACAAATCTCGCTCTGATCCACAAGGGCCGTAACTGTCTGTGATGGTGACGACCCGGGACAGACTTCGGCCAGGCTGACCTCGGGACCCCAGGGAAATACAATGGCTAAACCAGCAAAACTACGAAAAAACGAAACTATGCTGGGGCACATACATCCAGTGAAGACGGACCATCCAAGTATCCATGTATGTTGGTAGTATCGATAATGAAAAAGCGCTACATTATGTGCTTATGATTGAATTCGTTTGAAAAGGTATGCAGCCGACATGATTTATGAGAATTAAAAAAAAAAACTTTACCGGTAAGTAATTTGTCAGCAGCGTACTGGTTCTTCGAATGATACATCGCTCTACGAGCGCTACCATCTCTCTTGTTGTTTCCTCTCCTTTCTTTTGCTCGTCTTCAGTTGCATTCCCGTCTCGGCCACTAAATGATAACCCAAGACATTTTCAGGGTAGAATAATTATCTGAAAAACTGACCGCAAAATGGGATTTTCGAAGCGTTTCCGAAACTCGCTGGCTGAGCCAAACAGTCCTGGGTTTACAAAATTCACTAGGCTGAAAAACAACTTTTTGATTCACATATGTCAAGAGGAATTACAAGGTACAACCACTTAGAGACCTCTTGGCTCACCTGTAGTATTCTAGCAAATCATTTTGTATTGGCGTCCCAGAAATAAGCACACGTCGACAACATTGCAGTCCATTCAATGCTTGATATGTTAAGTTATCGTTGTTCTTTAATCGATGTCCCTATATATGTGCTGTTGCACAGAGCTCCGGTTTTTCTCTTCTTTTGCATTTTCACCTTGTTTGATAAAAGACATGGAAATTTGGTTACTTACAAAGCTTTAGAGTATCAGTTAAGTCACAAAAGGATAAAGAAGAAAGCTGTCGACGCTGATCAATTCCTGAGGAATGCGCCATGCATTCGACTTCATTAAGCATCGTTAGAGGTAACTGAATGCATATCTGACTTTTGTAATGACTTGCGGTGGTCTACCGATTAATCGAGCCGGTACTGCTATCTTCTCAGACAAATCTGGTACAAATTTACGGACTCTGGAGTGATGGAAAGCTTGGTGAGCCCGAGGTGCCAGGATCGATCCCATGTGCATTGCAGTGCGCCTCCGACCACTGCGTTACACGAGCCCTTAGTGAAGTTATAAGGTGTTCAAAATTGAACAATAAATTCCTTCGCACCTCATCGCAAATTACCATTCCTATCTCACTCGAGTGGAGAATCTTCGCATAAAGACGGAACGTTTCGTAGGAAATAATCAACACCGGGGTGGCAGCTCGCATTCTCCCGTCCGTCATATAGGAAGCTAAATAAAAATTACGACGGTGACACCTCGCCTTTATAAAACAACAGCAGTTTGGAATATTTTACCGACTAAGTTTGGTAGTTATTTCCTGCTTAGTACCGGAATCCATTGGCAATGCAGATATGCGGTGACCAAGCCATTTCTTAATCTCCTTGTCCCAGTTCTAGAGTTGTGCACTATTCCCATAATAATACTCAAGAGAAAGAAAGATAAACGTAACACACCTTTACCAAACTGCTTGGACAAACGATAACAACCTTAGAAAGCGTCGGCTTGCCTTCCGGACTTTGTTGAAGCAAAGTGTAAAGAAGAGTGATGCATTGAAGTGTTTTCCCCAGACCCATCTCATCAGCCATAATGCAACCATAATACCTAAAGTATTGATTCAGGCGATATAAGTAACACAGTCGTTCAAGAAAATTTCAAACCCTTCAATGTTCCGTCCGGTTACACAGTTATACATAAATTGAACGCCTTCTCGTTGGTGAGGTCGCAATATGTTACCGACAACCGGGTCAACTACAACGTGTACCTAAACGTAGGCTTCAAAAGTTGAAGAGTATTTGATATCCACATCCATAAGTTCTGAACCACAGATCATCTCTTCTAGACTCCTCAAGTGCGATATATGAGGCACTTCTACACAATAATTACGCGAAGAGCAGAAGCGACTATAACATGAGACGTTCCTGGGATGGCATCTTATCTATGCGCAAGACCAGGATATCTCCTCTCTATTCATGTAACGATGACATTTATGAACAGATGGATGTTTTCTGAGTATATAACCACTGTCATTAAGCCAATAGCGTCCAACTAATAGGTAGGAAAATAGATGGAAGACAGACCGAAGCTGCTTATCGCCATCTACGTGTCGTTAGAAAGAAGTAAAACAGCTCCCTATGAGTGGTTATGGTATGGTTAGGCAGATCGAATAATGGAAATCTGCAAGATTCTCTGGGACAATTTATGCTAATTAAAACTGAAAGAAGAGTGAGGACGGTCTTTGTCTAAAATGTAAGATGGTACCAGAGGAAGCTCTCGGTGATAACGAGAACCTCATCGTTTTATATGAGCTTGGAAGAACTCTACCACAAGCATCATACTTTCTACAACGTTATGGTTGGTGATTTGAACACGAAGAATGGGGGCACAGGAAAATGTTCGAAGAACATCACATGGGGAGACACTGGTTGTAACGAAGTGGCTGCTCCTTATTAATCAAGAAGGGATCATCCTTGATAATCTACCACTCAAAAATCTCACCTATCTACACTGGACTATGTCTTCCGGTGGATAATGCCGAAATGAGGTTAGTCATCAATGAAAATGGTTGCCTAACCGGTGACGTTAAGGAAAAAGATTAATCCAATACTCCTATGAGTGTAGTAAAAATAAAAAATAAAAAAAACCTTTTCGCAATGTTCAGCCTACAAGAGGCTGTTATACAAACTTTATTCGTCTAACGCCTTGACGTCTTCGTCTTCTTCAAAGCCGATGATTCGAGTCTGTGGTCCATGTTCGATGGAAAAATGGAATTCGGAAATCACCAACAGATAACTGTTTTCAGAAACTATCGAGCTACCATGCTAGCACATAGCTTCGCAAAAGCAGGCAATTCCAAACTTACTTCTATGTCTAAAAAACTTAGCAGAAAGGCGATAAAATATCTTACGATCAGTAACTAGTAGTGGCTGAAGCGCGGATGTTAATTAGACCATCCTTCTCTCGCAGGAACTTCACCAACTATAGGTTCAGGACAATTTCTTCCCCACTTCTCGTTGAAAAAAGTGACACTGGTAAACAAAAAGAACACCTGGGTTATTCGTGACTTCAACTTCTCTCTCTTCGTCTTACTTGCACCACGATGTGTTGAATTCTCGTACCTGCTACCGAAAATACGCTGACCGAATGAATAAGTGTGAAAGAAACACTGACATGTACCTGACCCGGGAAGTCAACATAATGAACGAATTAGCTTTATAGCTAAGGAGAGAACGATTGGTTTGGGAAGCTTACAACAAACGGAGAATATCGTCAGTATAACAGGGACATATACAATAGGGACATAACTAGGCCAGCAAATAAGTATAAACAAAACTCCAAAGCTGGGCACGAATTATGAAATGATGGAGCGCATATTAGCAATAAAAGTAGTTAACAACATAAAGCACACACTACCAATCCTCCTATTAAACTCTACTGCACTTCCGACTACAACGTGCGGCAACAGTTATCGGGTCGGCTGTCAAGAGGAGTTGATAGGAGCATTTCAAATTCTGTGAGGAATAAAATCTACAATGCTGATCTTCCACGATCACAGAACAGCAATCAACCCACAAATGGCAAGATGCTCTACACTAGCCAAAAACACCTTGCTCCCAAACAATAAGAGTAGGAGAGCCAATAGTGAGTGCATTTCCCGTGATATCAAGGCCAGAAAAGGAGGCTACCGAGGTAACTAGTATTTTGCAGTTCTTAAGGGAGGAAATGTGTTACTTGGGCCCCTTGAGATAGAAGAATACACTACGGCAATTTTAACAACTTTGGAGAAAGTGGAAACTTTACCCATTCGATGTAGAAAGAAAGAAACTTTGAAAAAGAAATACATAGACTATCTTTAGCACAACCTTTTTATCTTCTTCCTTAATGCTCAAGTGATCGTGAGCTGAAAGAGGAGGTGGTGTATAGAGAACCACTGCGTTTTCGGCATAAGGATCGAACATAGCGACTTTCATCCTCGAACGAGCCATACCCAAAACTCGTCCAGACACTGCAATACATCAAATTGAAGGCGAAAGAGTATCATAGACGTGAAAGTTTATGAGAACTTACAACAGTAGCCGGATAAAGGTATGGTGAAAGGTCTTGAAAGAATTCTCGCTATTGCCTTTTCATGTTCCACAGCATCACGTTCCACTAGGCCATTTCGGTCGACCAACTTCAGACGCTGCGGGTCAATCACATCTTCACGATCGCTGTTGAAGGGATTCTAAAGACAAAAATGGCTGGGAATTTCGGGGAAAATCCTTGCCAAACGTGAAAAAAATGTTGGGATCCAGAGTAAAGTTCAGTGGTAGAACATTTCACTCGTGAAATATTGACGAAAACTTAATACCTTTCCGATGTTCTATTCATCTGAATTCATGAGATCTCATTATCATACTGGCCAAAATCCCATAGAACATGCCAACTTTAGCCTGGGGCGCGTGTAGCGAAGTGAGCGGAAGCGCCCTGCAATACACGTGGAATCGATCCCAGCGCCCCAGGATCATCAAGTCCTCCACCCATTCGGGGTTGGCAAATTGATACCAGACTTATCTAGAAGGATAGCAACACTGACTACCAACGCGAGTCATTGTAAAGGTCAGATATACACTCGATCACTCCTAACGGTGCTTAATTAAGTCGAATGCATGGAACATCTCTCAGGGATTGATCAACGTTGAGAGCTTTATCCTTGCAACGGAAGAAATAAACACTTGAATAGAGATATTCTATAGCTTAAAGAGCATCATGAAGATCAAAAACGAACCAGTCTTATCGGCTTTCTTCGTTTCCTCTTCGAGCCATCTCCTGGTGATGTCGAATCAGCTAATGGACTACGAAACTGACCATGAATCACCGGAGGTGGTGAGAGGCTCATTTTAGACATTCCTAGACTACGACGACGAATCATCATCAGGTATTACCAGCTAGCCATAAGTTGTCTTTACTGAAAATACATGGAACTGAGCAACTCACTGCAAATGCAAGGATTGTCCAGAGCAAGTGAGACTTGCTAAGAGAGACATATTGTTGTGAAGGACGCATAAATAATAAATACTACACTTGTTATCAAAGGAGAACCACGAAACAACAAAGCAAGCTGCTTTTTTGAGCTTCCAGAAAACATCCGTATGCAGCATTCACATCAAGAACCCCACCCACCTCCCTCCTCTCACCAAATGGCTAAATAGGTGAGAAACTCTACTAACTGAACTGACTCCATACTTGTATAAATACTTGATCAAATGTGTTCAGGGACAGACTTTAGCTTGGCTGATTTCTGGACTCCAGGGAACCACAATGGCTAAACCAGCAAAATTCCGAAAAAATGGAAATTATACTGGGACATGCACAACCAGGATGGACGAGCCGTCCAAGTATCCAATGTTTTCAACTACAACTTGTCAGCATGACAGAATCGTACACGAGTGCCTTAACACTGGCTGGATTTTCCTTTCTTCTCCTTCATACTGGCAGACTTATGTATTCGGAACAGCGATTCTTCTTTACCAATTACTATTTGAGATTCTCACACAAGGTGAATAAGGAATTCCAAACAATTTTCTTTTAAGAACGCCATTTTAACACATGTTGTCGCGAAAACTGCTTTAAGAGCTTCGCAGAAAATGAAGTTTATGAAGAGTTCTGTAGAAAATTTTACTTAGATACTTGGATACTTGGGTGCCCCGTCCTCAGTGGCTGTGCGAGCACCAGGATAATCTCCACTTTTTCGGAGTACTGCTGGTTTTCCTGGAGTGCTGAGGTCAGCCTAGCTAATGTCTGCCCGAGGTCGTCACCACCACAGGCAGTCGCAGCCGTTGTGTACCAGGAAGATTTATCACCGTGCGACTAGTTTGACACCACGACAGTGGTGGATCCTGGTATTGGTTTACTCTTAGCTAGGCTTCCTGATGCAAACGTCGAACTGCTTCTCAGTTTGAGAGACCCTGCCAGGGTGATGATTCCTCCCGCTGTACATCCCAGCCCAACACCCAGGAACACCTCCCAGCCACGAAAAGGCGGTAAAGTGTTAGGAGAAAATTAAATAATAAACAAACGAACTTCAAGGATCCTCTTCAATACGAAGGTCTATAACACTTCCAGCCGTAAACATCCTGTCTACAATCCAGAAAAAAGATAATAAACCATTCCAAAGTGAGGTGTGACCATATTTGTACATTAAAAGATCGTTCTATTAGGCACGAAAATTAACAAATTTATCATTCCCAGGTCATTCCTGTTGAGGACTGATTATTGATATAACCAATAGAGTAAGAAGATGGCTAAGGGGAGGAAAAGCAAGAGCTTCAGGGGTTCATTGGGCAACACCTGAGCCCCTGGAAAAGGTAAACTCGACTTTTCGAGGAGTTCTACTCTAGCCTGGGATCCGTGTTTCACAAATATCTTACCCACGCAGTGATTGTATTTCACATAGCACCCTTCCATGAAAGAAATAGTAGGCAGTCAACAAAAAAGTAGAACATTTTAAATATTTGAATTTCCCGCTAATACGTGCAATAGGCGTGCTCGAAGACCTGCGCATCTAAATACGGTACATGATTGGTGACGTCATCGGGGGTTGGCGCCCGGTTCGTTGGAGGGTTAATGGCTCACTCGCATCGGTGACAAATCGCTATGCCCTTGGTTTGGGTACCCAAGCTATCGATCGGTAACTGGTTTTGTTTCCGCTTCTTTTTATTTACTACTGTTTATTACTACCACAACGTCGCTGAGATATTTGCAAAACTCTGGACCGCAGGTGGCTATGGTGGGGAACGAACGCGCTATTGTCCTTTCCGGGGAGTAACGCGTTCACCACCACACCATGCGGGTCCTTTGTTTCGCCTATTTCTCAGCTATTTCTATCGATCTTGATCTCTACATTATGCATTGTACTATGACGTCGAATCCTGTGATCGGAGGTTTGCCTAAGGGTCTTATACCCATTTCAAGTCAGGATCATCTTCACTCAAATCAACTTTGTGGGGTTACAATCATTTCAGCGTAAAAATTCACCTGTATGTACAGGTATTTCTGCTCAATCACTTTTTAGTTTCTGTTTTTATTGTACTTCAACACATAACACCCGAAATGCATTGATTTCAATGTGTTCTCTGCCGCGGCGGTGATGCCCCTTAGTAAGTTTTAGGCAGTAGGTCTCAGTTCATAATGGACTTTGTAAGTTCAGTATCAGAAGCCATTAGAAAGTGCAGGACCTTGTCAACTGTATGGAAGCTTTTTTATCGTATATTGTGGTTTTGTGGTGTTTCCTTAACCCTCAATCCCCTAGCCCTTAACAGACCTACTTTTTTTTTTACTTTTTTGTGGGTCAAAGGTCATCCATTATTCGAATATAAAAGAAACTGAGCATTCCCGATTTCGTCAATATGGACTCAGCGATTTCCCCTAAAGTATTGTTGGTGTTTGTGACTGCCATTCTCTGCGTTGTAAATCTTGAAGATTTAAATTCTGTTTTCAGTGTTCGAAAATTTTAAACTACAAGTTTAATACTCGAGTAACATTTAGTACCGGTGTTCAAACTAAGGGTGACAAATCGAGATCTGTTCAATAGAACGAAAGAGAAAAGAGGTTATGGTTAGTTGTCGAAAACTTGTGTGTTAACGGTTTATTAGCCGTATAGTTTCCACAGTTTGTTAAAGTACTGCTGATCATAAAGGATAAGGGACGGGTTTAGCACAGTGGTCAAGGGAGCACTGCAATGCACATAGGATTGGTCCCCGCGCCCCACCCCAGGTGCACCAATCCCTCCATCCCTTTAGGGTCGCAAATTGGTACCAGACTTGTTTGGGAGGATAGCAGCACCAGTTCGATACATCGGTAGACTACCACAAGTCATTGTAAAGGCCAGATATGCATTCATTCACCAAATGGTGCTAGATGAAGTCGGAAGCATGGCTCATCGCTCAGGGATTGATCAACATCGAGAGCTTTATTCTTCTATTTATTTACTGCTGATCAGTCTGTTGATGAGGTTGTGGGTCGTTTAATCAGTGCTATCTGTACGGTTTCGAGTAGTTTTTAAAGTGAGACATTAGTTATAACATAATGGGTATAGCTAAGTGCTTTTTATAGTTAGGTTGAGATAGGTGGTGAATTAGGCGGTTTAAGTAATGTTGTTTGAATATTTTAAAAACCGACTTTCCTTCAACCCAATGTGTATTCTTTCTTTGATGAACTTATACGGTATTGATAAATATCCTTTATTTTTACCTAAGGTTTCGACGTGTTCGTCTTCATCAGAGCCGATGACTGTGGACAATGAAGACTGATGAAGACGAAGACGTCGAAACGTTAGCCGAAATTGAAGAATATTTATCAATTTCGTGTAAGCTTATCAATGAAAAGATACATATCGATTAGTCAGAACAGAATGTAGTTTGAGTTTGAAATTGTTCCGTTCGTTGTCGGTTTTGCATGTGGGACTGATCCACGGTTTGTTTGTCATTCTGCTGTGAATATCGAAGCTCATTTTCGAGAAATTTAGCTTATCCTTGTCTCACTAAGCGCTTAGTTCCAGAGATGAGCAGCATGACGAGTGCAACGCAACGTCTTCAACCTAAGCGTCAAACTCTTGATGAAGCCTATGCACCGCCAGCAAATTTTCTGGAGATTGAAGTCGTTAATCCAATCACTCATGGCGTCGGCAAGATGCGTTATACGGACTACGAAATTAGGCTACGGGTAAGCTTTATATGCTAAGGGTTCGGTTGAGTTTCTCATGGGTTTTATGCAAGTTTGTGACGAGCCACATTTCTTTTGTTGAGTGAAGGTGCCGTTCCTTATGTGAAGGATCGCTGAGCGTATACATTGATCAACGTGGATCTAATTTTTCTTTATTTGGATATTTCGACCGCCCGTCCTCGCTGGTTGTGCGTGCCCTAGCATAATTTCCACTTTTCTGGAATTTTGCTGATTTAGCCACTGTGGTTCCCTGAAGTCCCGAGGTCAACTTAGCCAGAGTCTACCCTAGCCCGTCACCACCACACGCTGTCGCCGCCCTTGTGGATCGAGGGAGACTTGCCACCATGTGACTAGTTTGATACCAGGACGGTGCTGGACCCTGATATTTGTTTACTCTTTCTTAGCTGAGCTTCTTGATCGAAGTACCGAAGTGCTTAATCCTCAGCTAGGGAGATCCTGCTGTTGCATGAAACACCTGCTGTACATCGCGGCCCAACAACCATGATGACCTCCCACGCACGACGAGGCGATTAACCCTTTTGGAGGATTTTGTCATTATGGTTTCGATTTGAATTTCTTAATTTAGCATAGACCAAAACCGTTTAGTTTTTAACCTAGTTTAGATGACGTCTAGTTATAGCTTTTTTGTAACAAGAATTAGCTTCAGTCCAACTTGCCGGTGTTTAAACAGAAGGAATCAAGTGTGCGCCGACGATACAGCGATTTCGACTGGCTTCGTGGTGAACTAGAAAGGGATAGCAAGGTATGAACAGCATTCCTTCTTTTCGGATGAAATTCATTTCTTTATGTTTCAGCTACAAAATTTTTGTGATTACCTCTTCTTCTTTTCTTTTGTAAAAGAGAAATGGGTGACCACTACCATTAGTAAAGATATCACTTGCTTACCACTACTTTTACTGTAGCTATAAATGGTACGCCACCTATTAATCATCAGACAATTTTGGTGACCAACCGCGTGCTGCGAAAGAGGACCGGTTAGCTCTACTTCATGGTTTTATCAAGATGATTCCACACCTTTTATTCGACCAAGTGACACCGCAATACACTTTAGTGTAACCAGTTTCAGTTTTAATGTTTGGAACAAATTATTTAACCACAGGCGCAGTAGTTTTACCCCTTATTTATTTTTTCTGTCTTATTTTATTTTTTTTTGTACATCGATAGGCCATCGCGAATCATTGTAGAGGTCAGGTATGAGTTCAATCACTTCGAAACAATGCTTAACGAAGTCGAATGCATGGTATATCCCTCAGGGAATGATCAACGCCGAGAGCTTTATCCTCTGCTTTATTTTATACAACCGGTCTTCATGTCTACGGTGCGGATCCCAGCACTTCTTACATTCGATTCGTTTCTTCGCATCCATTATCCATGAAGGTCTTCCACCTTTCACGTCAGACCTCTCCTGCTACTTGACGATTTTCATTTCATCTTCAATGTCGTGGAATGCTGGTCGAGTGGATTCTCCATGGAGTGCTGAGATAGCCGGGCTGGAGCATTCCCAAGTAGATTGCAGAGGGTGTTTTTTCCCAGACAAATCCGGTACCAATTTCCCGATCCGGGAGGGTTGAAAAGCTTGGTGAGCCCGGAGCGTGATTGAACGAGCATTGTATTCGTGACGATTAGCATCACTTCCACTGTGATATCCGCTCTCTTTTACTCTACTTTAGTCCAAAATTAAAGTGTTTGCAGATTTTAATATATCCAGTGTTTGAAGATATGTTAGAATTTATCCACTACTTTTCCAGACATTGCTTTTGTTCGTTTTGGGATATCATTCTGGGAAATAAATAGTATGTGAAGTTTTTGCTAACAACAGAGCCTCGGCATAGGAATATCAACGAGGTTTTGTTATTTGTAAGAGCACTAACTACCAGTGTGCGGTAAGTTGCTCTTCGCATTAGGATTACGGCAGTTGAAATTAGTTTTTTCGCTCCACTTAAGAGTAACTGTATTCATGATAGCAAGAGTCTCTACGATTTGTCAGTTTTTTTTATTATTGTTCCTAGGCACTATACACTTCCCAACGGTTCACGGCCTCATCACTGCTAGGAGGTATTCCTGGGTGTCAGGCGTCGAACCACATCGTGGGATTCATCCTCCCGTCAAGGCATCTCAAACTGAAAAGGAGTCTGGCACTTCCATTGGAGAGCCCAACTAAGAGGAAACCAATACCAGGATCCACCACCGTCCTAGTATCAAAGTAGTCTCATGGTGGCAAATTTCTCTCTGATCCAGAAGGACGGCGATTGCCTGTGGTGGTGATGCCCTGAGGCAGATTTTGGCCACCCTTACCCGGGGACCCCAGGAAACCACAATGGCTAAGCGAACAGAGCTTCAAAATAATGGGAATTATGCTGGAGCCCGGACAGCTATTGAGGATGGCCCATCCAAGTATCGAAGTAAGTAAGTACCGTACACTCAATGTTTGTACTCCTGAAACCGGTGTTCTATCCTACAGTATGTCCTTATATTTCGCGCTGTTGTATATATTCGATAGCGGTAATTTGAGGCTGGCTCAACAATTGTATACGTTTTCCGCCGTAAACACTATTGAAAATCGATTCCCGCTAAGAATCGTTGTTGAATAAGAGGTTTGATTCTCAATCTAACTAGACGATGAAATTACCGCTTGGTTAAATGTTTGATTCTGCACAGCTACTATTTTCGTTTTTGTTAATTGCACATCTCTAATGCAAGTTTTAAAGATTGTTGTCCCTCCACTTCCGTCAAAGTCGTTGAAGAGGCAGCTTCCATTCCGTTCCGATGACGGAATATTCGAAGAGGAGTTTATCGAAAATCGTAGAAAGGGCTTAGAAATCTTCATAAATAAGTATGTTTTTATTAAACTGACTAGTAACGTTCGTTTAATGCAGCTTACCACTTGTAAGATGCAACACCTATTTCAGCCGATTATGACTATTTTCGTTCCATTTTTAAGTAGTGAAATCTGCTGAATATTGTGCCTCCCAACGGTTTCCCGGCTCATCGTGCCTGGGAAGGGTTCCTTGGTATCGGACTGCGATGTGCAGCGGGGGATTCATTCTCTTAGCAGGGTCTCCTAAGCTGAGGATTACGGTGTTTCAATTAGGAAGCCCATTAAGAGCAAATCAAAACCAGGATCCACCACTGTTTTGGTACCAAATTAGTCACGTGGTGGCAAACCTCCCTCTAATCCGCAAGGATGGTGACAATCTTGGGCTGACTTTGACCTGGCTGACCTCTGGACTCCAGGGAAACAATAGCTAAACCCGCGAAATTCCGAAAAGAATTAAAGACGGGTCCACTTAAGTATCCAAGTATAGGATCTTGTGAAAAGGCCCTCTGTACTTCATATTGTGGTGATAAGTCATTTATTGTGAGCTTCGATATTAGGGATGTTTGTTTTCTTTTTGGTTTTGCGTTATTGTGTTCTTAAGGACTGTATTTGTGTGAGTAGAGTTCCACTGAAGACGTGAATTGTATTAGTTCGAAGTATTCTAGAGTTGCTGGACATCCGTTAGCACAAAACGAGCGCTCATTGCATATCTTCTTGCAAGAACCGATGATCGATAGGAATTACGTGCCTGGTAAGATTAGGCCAACATGATATTGATGAAACTTGGGTAATTCATCCAATTTTAACTTGTTGTGATGCATGGTGTATATACATATATATGCTAACTCGCATGTGAACCAGGATAGTTCCGGTTTTGTACATCTTTTCCACTACTCGATCTTCCATGATCAATAGGTGGTCGTATTTTCTGAGGTAGTCCGCACCATAGCTCAACTTTTAAGTTTTCCTTTTTGTCTAATTGTTCTGCCAACTTTATTCTGACCTAAATTATAACTAAAACCGCACGCTGTAGTTCACGGTTTGTTGAAATTTGTTTGGTGAAGGTTAGTCGTTTTCTTCCATCACCAACATTCTATATGGTCGGTCATCTTCTTCTATACAAATTGTGTAGTTTCAATATATGTATTACTGAGACGTTTTAACAACTGGGATCAATCGATATGCATATTCGAAATGGTGCATGCTTTTCACGTTTGCTAATGTTTAGTTGTTTGTAGAGTACTTTATAAATTCTGTATGTAAATAATAACCCCATAGAATATGAGAAGTGAAATGGCAAATACCTACGATAGGTGTGATCCTATGAGATTTGTCCCCAAAGAGTTACATTGTGATACCGTCGTTTTGAAACTGTTTTACGGAAATAAATTATCGGAGTAAATCTCGATTCACATTTGCCTAGAAAATTCACAAACATCGAAGATGATTATTGTTTACCAAATGATGCTCTAGGAAACTAAGACACTTTCAAGTTCTCGGTCTCTCATGACGTATTGCAGTGGCGGTGGACTAGTTTCTAGATAATGTGGGCAAGTTGTTACCGCTTCAGTACCCGTTTTGTGTCATCCATGCGTTCAGTTAGGCCTAGCAATGGGTCGTAAAGTAGTACCACCAAGTTGTAACAATAGCATAAATGACTTAAGGCTCCGGTTATGAGGTTAAGGTGTTTTGCTGAAGTGTGAGCATCTATGTCTATGATATTTTGTTTTTTGGTGTGTAGACTTTGTGTGTTAGATTAAAGAGATTTCATAAACGTTTTCGTACAACCCTTAAACTGGCTGGTAACTTGTTTATTTCTTGTCAACAGTTTATTGGAATTGTGCTTTTGCTTAGAAAAATGGCTCGGGAATCCAATGTTCTTCTTATCTCTTGACTTCATTCTTTTGTCCCGCTAATCCTTCCTGTAATTTAAAGACTTCAAGTCAATCATCATCTTCTTGTAGAAATGAAGTTTGTAACAGCATGGAAGGAATAATTGGCCTTTTAGTCTCGACATATTATCGTTTAAGTTTTCTGATGGTCTATTTATTGAGCTGTAGATGAAGCTCTAGAACTTAAGTGCTCTACATACAAAAGTTAATTTACCAGCAATTTCGTACTCTCAGCTGTAGAGCTCAATCGTTCATCAAGCTTGAACTGAACAAAACTATAGTGGCATCCATCACCACCGTGCAGAACATTGAGAGGGCGAGCACAGGGCCGGATACGCACTGTTGTATAACGTTGATCCCAGAAGTCCACCAACTGAGAAGTCAATCCGAACGGAATAACCCGGGAATGTCCTTTTGCCACTACTCTATTACTATTGCTATGAAGGGTAAAAAGTAAAGCTCTCGGAGTTGATCAATCCCTAGGAATGCGCCATACATTCGAATTCATTATGCATCGTTTGGAAATGATTGAATGTATAATATCTGGCCTTTACAATGACTTGCGGTAGCCTACCGATGTATCGAACCGGTGCTGCTATCCTCCCAGACAAGTCTGCTACCGATTTGCCGCCTCCATAGGGGTAGAAGGCTTGGTGGGCCATGGGCGCGGGCATCGATTCCACGTGTACGTTGCAGGACGCCTCCAGCTATTGCGCCACGCGCGCCATTGCTATTGCTAAAATCCCACTAATCAGCGTTAGCTGAGCTGGCAGTGGAAGTTCGTACCCACTAGGTACCGAACCGAACTGCTGAGGGGTTCTGTCCACCTGTCGAAGACGAAGAGCACCACATAAGTGGTATGATACCCAGTTCTCATTAACCTGAGCAGAAAGAATGCCGTTCATAGTTAGGGCGTCTCTTGCCGCTTCTGTTGGACTTTACACAGTTCTTCTTTAGCCCAGAGATGATACGGAAGTAGGATGTATTTCAGTGGCGTTATTGAATGGACTATGAAGAGAGTGATGCTATAGGAGTATCTAGTAGCACCTAACGGAGGGAATAAGTTTGAATTTTCGACATGTGTTGGCGACAAATGATCTAGGACGTCGGTATGCATATACTAAGATGTTAAAAATCTAATAAACTGATGGTCCCGTGATGTGTCTGTGCAACTGCTGAGTAAAGGTTGTTAGCGTCTGTGTTCAACGAGGTGACTTACTGAAAACGGTAAGATCACCGGTTCAGCAGCTTCAAAGCTCTCCGCAAAAATCGTGGATTAGAAAGTTGCTAGTCTTCGTGTCACTCAACCTCAGCATAGGGGTTTGTTCCTGGCCTTCGTAATTAGTTAGAGCAGTGTTGGTGCATGACAAAGCATCATTTTCCAACTACCGGAACAACATGTTATACCTTTTTATTTTATTTTTTTTCTGTCTACTATAATTTCGCGGCAGGGTACTAAGCGAAATACAACCACAACGTTGCTGAGATATTTGCAAAACTCTGGACCGCAGGTGTCTATGGTGGGGAACGAACGCGCTATTGTCCTTTCCGGGGAGTAACGCGTTCACCACCACACCATGCGT